AAATAGTAAAGTTAAAGTGAGCTAAAGATGAAACTGTGGTTGACCTCAGACTTGAGGAATATTCAATGTCAGAAAACAGTTGAACAAAACCTACAAAGAATTAAAGTATTATCTAAGACATTTACACAAACCAAACTTGTTCAAGGAAAGAAGAAAACATTTTTGAACATTTAAGGACTAAGAAAATATATTTTTCATGGATCCTTCTTCCAGAGAGTATCCCTTCTAGTTATCTATGCAGTATTCACTAACCAGTCATGAGATTTAAAAAAAAAAAAAAAAAAAAAATTAGAGCAAAGAAGAATAATATCTCCAGATACAAGAAATAAATCTAAGAAGTTCATGATATATGGACACTCTTTAATCACTGTCAAGTAGTATTTATTAAGTCACATTTGTCAACATTTAACCAAATGTGAGTAACCACATTGAAACTACTGACACAAAACGTAAGGTTCAGTTAACGGCTTCACCAACTTTGTAATCATAGCTCATTGGCCTTTCCACAAATTGACCCCAAATCAGCACTATTTCTTATTGAAGATCTCCCTCTTTCTAGGATAATATTTTGCAATATCCTATTTTGAAGGTAAAAGAGTGATATATTACTTACAACATCACACAATTTGCCAGACAAGAAGAAGATCTCTTTCATGTGTGTTTTCTCAGTCAGCACAAAATAAAGTAGAACATAAATACACTCATCGGTCTTATAAATGATTCTGAGGCATCATTATGGGTCACCATAGATTTTGACATATTAGTGTTGGTTCTTTGCTCTTGTTTCCAAAATGTCACAGATTGAAAATGTATTTATCTGACCAAAACCTGATACAGATAATAACTAACAGATTTCAAAAATTTACAGTGTGACAGCTATTATAATAAGCATTTTACATGGATTATCTCCTCTTATCTCCACCACAAGCATGTGACATGAGTAAAAGTATTATTTGATTTTACAGGTATATAAAAGGAGGTCTAGGGAATTTTACCACATTGGTGAACTCCAGAACCAGGATATGATCTTAAAATAACTGATTCCAACCTCACTGCTCTTCTCCGTTCCACTATAACTGCCTCTTTATGGTAGTACCTGCTTCAGAAACTCTCAAAGCAACATTGGAAATGACTAGACTTATGCTAATAATGGGTTTAAGAGTGGGACCTTGAATTCTAAATTCAATTGCTGTTGCACACATGCTGATATTGCATTATTGACATTATTCACATTATTAATGACATTATTAATACAAATAATATTAAAGTTGCTTTTTATTTTTTATTTTTTTATGTACAGTCTTTCATGAGAACCTTAGTACTCCAACAAAGGTAACCAAGCAACCAACCAACTCACTGCCATGGATCTGACTCACAGCAACCCCTCCTTGTGTTTCCGAGGCAGTATCGCTATAGAAGTAGATTGCCCAATCTTCATTCTGAGGAGTGGCTAGTAGTTTTGAACCACCCACCTTCTGGTTAGCAGTCAAATGCCTTATGCCACACCACCAGAGCATGAAATGCCTTACCTGATGTGATGGTTAATTTTATATGTCAGTTTGGCTAAGCTGTGGAGCCCAGTTGTTTGGTCAAACGTTAAGCTAGAAGTTGTATTTAAGGTATTTTTTAGATGTAATTAACATTTATAATCAATTGATTTTAAGCAAAGAGTATTATCCTCAGTAATATATATAGGCCTCCTTGAATCAGTTGGAGAATTTAAGAGCAAAACCTAAGCTTTCTGGGAGAAAAAGGAATTCTGCCTCAAGTCTGTAACATAGAAATCCTGTCTGTTTCCCACCAGCCCACATGCTCTACAAATTTTACTTCAGACTTGCCAGTCCCCACAATTGCATACTGTATTTTTCATATATACTGTACCTGTGTAAATAACACACACATGTAATGTGCACAGCACTCATAGGAAACTGACTCACCAGAGGGTTGCGTGGTTTACAAAAATAGTACAACGTGTGCATTAATTTTGTAAAATATGGTAAGTCGTTGGATGAACCAACTCTTTAAAATAACACACACTCTCCCTCATGGTTCTATTTTCATTAAAGACCCCTAATTGACACATCTGGTGATTCCAATCATCATTCACGTGACAGAGTTTCTCTTGATGCTCTCAAAAGAAGAAAACCATGCTTATGATTCCTTGACCAGCACAATGTTGTAATGACTCTAAGGATAAACTGGAGTATTATTTACCAGTATGATTACTTGTCTGAACACATGCTAATTGCTGCTCCTAAATTCACAACCAAAAAACCCATTGTCATTTTGTTGATTATGACTCACATTGATCCTGTAGTACAGAGTACATCCGTCACACAGAGTTTCCAAGACTGTAATCTTTACAGAAGTAGACTGTCACATATTTCTTCCATGGAAAGGGTGATGAGTTCAAACTGTTGATCTTTCAGTTAGCAGGTGAATGCTTAATCATTGTGCCACCAGTGCTCTTGGGGACCCAAACCCACTGCCATCAATTTGATTCCAACTCATAGCAACCCCCATTGGGTTTCTGAGGTGATAAATCTTTACTGAAGTAGGTTCCTTCATCTTCCTTCTGGAGTGATTGGTGGATTTGAACTGCCAACCTTTTGGTTATCACTCAAATGCTTAGGCACTATGCCACCAGACCTCCTGTCTCTTGAGCACAGTAGATAGTAAATGGGCTAATTACATCTGGTAGGTAAAGCATCTCAAACCTGCCATATAAAAAGAAACAAACATACGTGAGACTACCACTGAAAGCTTTTTCACTCTCCTTAGATAAAATACTGTCCCTAGTAGCTCTTTCTACATAAAGTTACTTAGGACTCTGTCATATGCAAAAAGAGAAGCCTGCCTCCTGTGTCTGTGTCCACTGATTAGCAGGAACTCATTGTGAGCCCAAAGGTAGCACAACACTGCAAGGATGAGCAGACAGTTTTGCATAAATAACAATAATAAACATAAACAAAAAAAGTTTATTTCTCTCCTTTTCCTGTAATCATTTCTCCAAATCTCAAAAGAAAAAATAAACCCATCTAGAAAAACAGAGATTCATTCAAAAGAATTTTACTCCAAAGGGATGTAAATGTAAGTTATATTAAGCAAGTGTTTCTTAAGACTTTTTGTGCTTTGGGTCACCGGAGCAAATCATTGAATATGAGCAAGAAAAACAATGTTCTGCCTTCAAGTTGCCCTGAACTTTTAAAATTGAATTCCCAGGAAACTCAGCATTGCATTCTTACGGACCTATTTATTGAGTCCATGTGGCTAGTTAATATTTTCATTAGTAAGGAAAAATTCAGTACAGGAAAATTTCTCAGGAGACGTTAATTGAAATGAGGTGTATAAGGTTAGCTCAGTATCATTGTCCCAAGCAGACATAAAGAAAGGACATAAAAATCAGACTAAGGTTTTGAGAAGATTTTGGATGGGAAACCTTCTTATAAACTGAGCTCTTTAGGCCAGCATAGCTAAATGTTGAATGGAAGAATGACTATTTCATATTGAGAAAATAAAAATAGCAAGGAACGGTGACATAAATAGTCTTGTTGTTTTTGGGAAAACACGTTATTTTGTAACATGATACCCAGAGAATAAGACTTAGCTAGTTAAAACATGTAGGGAAGAGTATTCTAGACAAAATAAAATAAAATAAAGAGTGCATGAAAAGACCTTAGAGGAAAAAAAAAAAAATTCAGGAACATCTATAGACCTCAAAGAAGGCCAGTTTTCATGGAGACTACTGAACAAGGAGAGAGTAAACCAAAATCAAATTGAATAGATAGGAGGGGCCAAATCATGCCGTGTCCAGTGGCCATGTGAAAGACTGTGTTTTGTCCATAGTCTGGAGAAAAGCTGTCAATGATTTTACGGAGGACTGGCAGTTTTAAATGATTGCCCTGGACACCACATGGAAAATAGAAAACACGAGGTAAGAATGACCATAGAGAGACCAGCACCAAGATTTTTCAATTATTCAGGAATGGTAGAAAATTGATCTAGACCAGGTATATGGAGGGTTTCCGTAGTGTAGTCGTTATCACGTTCGCCTCACATGCGAAAGGTCCCCGGTTCATAACCAGGAGGGAACAACTCATGTTTGGGAGCTCTGGTAGCATAGTGCCTAAGGCACTTGACTGCTAACCAGAAGGCTGGTGGTTCAAACCCGCCAGCCACTCCTCGGAAGGAAGATGGGACAATCTACTTCTGTAGTGATACTGCCTCAGACACTCAATGAGGGGTCGCTATGAGTCGGGTCCGACTCCACGGCAAATAACAACAACAACAACAGGTATGTGGTCTTAGTTACTTGAAGACATACAAATAACATTTATCTATATCTATCGATAGATAGATATAGATATATAGCACCTTGGTGGCACAATGTTTAAGTGATCAGCTGCTTACTGCAAGGTTGACAGTTGGAACCCCCACAGTGGCTCTAGGTTAGAAAAACCTGGTGATCTGCTTCCATAAAGATTATAGCCGAGAAAATCTTACC